GACCGCCAATACTTAGACAAAAAATTTACACTAAGCGTTTTTACCATTTTCACTCTCTTAAGCGCCTTCCAACAAATCAAATGCGTGTATCAAATCAAAGAAATCTGGCCGCCTCAGGTACATAATTTTATTACAACGATTTGATTTGTATTTTTTATGTTACAGTGAGCTGATTTATGATTATTGATCATGTGTAGGTAAACGATTTGATGTATGTGATGGACAATGCTTAAAAACGATTTGGTGTATTTTTCTCAGTAAGTCTCTCCGTTCATCTATGAACGTGTTTGGTTCTTGTATAGTTAAGAGAGCAAGAGTACAGTTAAAAGTATACTTGACTCGATTTTGTAGAAGGTTAGGCTTTGTATAGTGTCGACTCGATTTTGTAGAATCTGGCTCTTGGGTTTTAACCAGTGTTCAACAAGTTTTAATTAACTAATCAAATATTTTGTATGATTTTCATTTATAGGTTTAGAGGATTGACGAGAACGCCTATGGCTCTGATTAAGAAATTACGCAAGGCGGTAAATTCCCTAATTTCGTTATATATCGAATAAGGGACTGCCTCAAATTAAAGTAGCTAGTAATCCATAATTTGGTAGTGATTAAGGGTCTGTTTAGAGAAGCAAAATCACAAGAAGTAGTACTAGCCATAAACGATGGATACTAAGCGAAATAATCTAGAGGACAAAGATAAGAATTTAAAAGATGATGCAATGGTTGTAAATAATGGCAGCTGCCATTATGATCTTTCTACGTTCCTTATATACTGACATATTGTATGATGCTTTTGTAAAATCGATGTGATATCAATAAAGCTGTTTCTTTTTAAAAAGACGGCAATTGTCTAAAAATAAATGAATTGATATTTCTTAGAATTGATTTTTTTTTTTTTATATTTTCAGCTGTATCATTTTCGATTTAAAAAGTAAACCGGTACGTGATTATTAAACTGAGATAAAATACCAAATGAAAATTGAATTATTAAAAATATAAATTCAATTCTCAAATCCACTTAATTTTTTTTTATTAAAAATCAGCGAATCCTACGTGGAGTTTCCATTTTCCAACCATTCTAAGATTTCCAAATCAATTAAAACCTATAAAAAAAAAAAAAAACTCTTGATTTGACTGATTTTCTTGGTGTTGTTTGTTTGTTTTTCTTGTCCTCAGGTATCGGGTGGTCGTGTTGTTTGTTTGCGCGTGGCTTTTCAAAATTACTATATAAACGCAAAAACTATGGCATAAATATTGGAGATTTGGAGTCACTAATATTTGTATTTGTCACAAAGACTCATATCACGAGAAACCGTAAACGAAGAACACGTATATATATTATAAATGCTCTTCATAATTGCTAAATCTTTGAAGGAGAATGCTCGATTAAGCTTTGTAAAGACATTCTTCTGCACAAATTTCGTCGCTATGTGTGCAGAATTTCACCTTTCCGGGGCAGCAATAACACTTAAAATTGCCAGGCGCGCAAATTTCTGGAAAGCACGGTGATATATTTATCTTGCTTGCCTCAAGACCCTCAATGATTCTACCTATTATAAAAAAAAAAGAAAAGAAAATTACTATGATATGATTGTTATTACAAATGGAAATGGTAATGATGAAAAATTGATAAACAAAACCTAAAGGACGTTAAACACAAATGGTAATGATGCAAATTGATAAACAAAACCTAAACTTTAAACCAACAGAAAAAGAAAACCCCAAAAGGACATGTGCATATATGTAAGTACTTACATTCATGACGTCCAAAGAGGGAAACGAGGACGATGCAAAAGATAGCAAAATGGGATAAAGACATTGTGAAGTTTAATTCTTCTCTCCAAACCAAAAAAAAAGTTGCTTGCCTTTTGTTATATGATGGTCAAAACCCTACATGTGTAAAGTTATAAACGTATTAGTATTGCCTTTTTCTTAGGGTAATCATCAATGGAAACAAACAAAATCTGTAATTAAATTGATTTAACTAAATTTTTATTTCTAAAAATGTGTAATCAGATTTCTAGACTCGATTTTATTTCCTTTTATTCTAGAGTATTGATGTTTTATTCCTTAAAAAAACAATATATTTTCTTCAAATCAAGCGCCTTAATTACTTGCAGCCGAAAAAAATCAAAAATTTGGAAACTTTGTAATTAATTATAGAGACTTGTAATCGTTGGTTGTACATTTATAGCCTTTATAAGTTATCTACAAGCAATAGAGGAATCTTCTCGCGTCACTATAATTTGCTTACCATATAAACAGATACTTTATAGATCTTTCCTTCTTTGGAATCTGATGTCACTTAACCCGTCATTTCTGTTTTCCGAATTTTTTCCGGACCTGATGCACAAAAATCATGGTTATTTCCTCTCTTGTTTGATGAATTAGACGTCGGAGTGTTCTAAAAAAACACCCCATATATAGTATAATAGTAGCAATATGATGAAATCACTTTATATATACATGTTTTCATACTTCTCAATATATTTGCGATTCATATATTAAACTTATTAATGAACCCATGATCGAGGGTTTTATATATTTATAAATGTTGAAATAATCATAGAACTAGTTAACTTTTCCGCGACTTGTGCGGACTGATATGATTTCCATTTGATTGTTTGAAAATTTAATAGTATTTTGGATTCATTTATTTTTATTCTAGACTATATTTATTTATTAGATTTTCTTGTATTTTAATGTTGGAAGACATGAACGTGAAAACAGTTTAGAATAAAAGAGAGTAAAATAAAAACATAGTAGTATTCAAATAATTTAATTTAAATAGTTTTGAAATCTTTTGATGACTATTCTATGTGCATGGAGTATGATTTTTTTAGTACAAAAGATGTTTTATAAGTTTTAAACATCACAAATACTATCATTACATTATATTTTTTTTTTTACTTTTTTGTTAGAGTTTTTTTTTTGAAATTTCAATTTTTTAATTTATTTTGAAACGACATTACATTACTTTTTATATAGTTTTCATTTTTGTTAGATTTTTTCTAAATTTCGGAAATATAAGAAATGGTAAACACTAAGAGATATAAATTTATTTTTTTTTAAAAAAAAACGTTTTTGTTATTTTTTTTTCAAAATTTTGGTTATATATAATTTTAAAAACAGTTTGATTAACTATAAAATTAAACATTAAATCCTACTAATTTAGACCAGTTTGTTTTAAGTTTTTTTTTTACACATCATGAAATAAGAACCAATAAAAAAATGACACATAATTGTAAAATAGGGCTAAACAGTCTTTTTACAGCCAAAATTTTGACTATGAAATTAAACATTAAACTATAATAATTTAAAATTAATCATGATTTTATATATAGGTTGTTTAGGTTTTAGTTATGAATTGTAGCTTTCCTTTTTTATTTTTTCAAAGACAAACATAATTTTCTTTAAGCAATTATCTATATAACGTATATTAGTAATTTAACGTTTTCTTGTAGATTTGTATTTTGAGCAATATTTTGTATTTGTTTGTATATACATTATAAATATTATATAGATAGAATGAAGAAGAAGGCAAAGGTTAAACAATTTTGAAAATTGTGAGAGAAGTAGTGAAAAGTGGTTGATTTGACAATGAAGTTAAGTATTTAACCATAATAATTTAGACCAGTTTGTTATAAGTTTTTTTATACGTTATCAGATAATAACCAATCAAGAAATGATACGTAATTGCAAAACAAGGTTAAACGGTTTTTTTGTGGTCGAAACTAATTCTAGAGCTGACACGTAAGCGAAAAACGGTGAAACTCGCTGTAAGCGCGACATATAAGCAAATCACTACAAAAATAAGTATATAGATGAGGGACTTAACAATCAGTTAACAAATAAGGTTTTGTGCAGCTTTGCTTTGTTAGTTAACAAATAAGGTTTTGTGCAACTTGGTAGGCACCATTGTCTTCTCCGATTTCCCGATTTCAATATTGTCGCTTAAACCGGTTCGTATTTTGCTGGCGGTTCAATCTTGTTGTAAAATCGGTCGAACCCTAGTTTGGGTCGGTTTGATTAATGATAATTTTTATTAAAAAAATCTTTGTATACCGTTAGTTAAGTTTGTTTTTTTTTTATTTTATTTAAGAAAACGGAAATTGTCTAAAAATATACAGTATGAACTGATACATAATTTTTTTCTCTGAGACGTAAACTGATATATATTTTTTATATGGTAGCTTAGATAAAAATCGGTAAATTTTTCTTTTCATTTCAGCTGTATTATTTTCGATTTTAATGTAAACCGGTACGTGATTTCATTAAACCGAAATAAAATAGCACCTGAAATTAATATATATATATATATATATATATATATATATAGAAAAAAAAATTCAGTTTATCGGAAAAATGATACCAGAAGCTCAATGATGAAGAAGAAAAAAAACAACTGTAAATGATAACAGATAAACGCATCTGAGACCAACAAAAAGGAGAATTACACAGACATTTTCTCTTATCTGTTGTCGTCGTCGTCGCTGGGTCACAATCTCCTTGTTTTCTTTTCTTTTCTCTCGCTCTCCTTTTCAAATCCAAATTAACCTAAACGATCTCTCTGTCTGATTCTCGGGAAAGTCAAGCGAGAAAACCTAGACGACCAAACCCGGGAGGGATCTTTGTAATATAGTTCGTCCCATAAAATTGCTTGGAGCTCCTCTCTCTCCCTCTCAACATCTTTTTGTTCTGCAATTTCAATTCGATTTGATTTGTTCCAGAAAAAAGAATCGTGCCGTGCGGACCAAGGAACTAGGTACATTTCTCTCTGATTTTTGTCCATTGCTCATCTATTGCCGTCATTGCATTTCTAATTGATAAACGAGATTGTTGATTCCATCTTTGTTTAGGGTTAATTTCCGTAGGAGAAGCAACACATCTTGATGAAGAAACAACCTTTTCACATTTCATCCAAAACTCGAAGGTGGTTTTATTTATATGGGGCGAGCATTGGAATCACCTGGTGCTCTTTGCTGTTGTAAATCCAACTTGGAATGGGTTCTTTCCAGAGAAGTGTTCCCCCGGATAGGGAAAACGAGCAGGTACGTACGTGTGCTTGTTGCTTGAGTCTCTCTGTTTTCATATTTTCCTCCTCAAGTGTGATTCGATGTTTTTAGCTTACTTCACATTTTTGATTGCAGGCGATAGCAATTCTGAAGAAAGGAGCGTATCTGTTGAAATACGGTCGGCGTGGGAAACCTAAATTCTACCCTTTTCGGCTTTCAAGTGTAACGAACGATTCATGATGACCTTTTAATCTCTTTTACAAATTCCCCCCCAAAAAAAAAAAATCAATTGTGATACTATACTTGTTTATGCAGGATGAGATATATTTGTTATGGTACTGTGGGAAAAAGGAGAAACGTCTTAAACTGAGTTCTGTGACAAGGATCATACCTGGACAACGAACTGTAAGTTTTGAAAATGTCTTGAATCATTTCTCTGGTGTTTTGCTGCAGATTCTTGATCATGTTATTGTAATAACATTTTCAGGCAGTTTTCCGACGATACCCTCAACCCACAAAGGAATATCAATCTTTTTCTCTTATATATGGCGACCGGTCTCTTGATTTGGTTAGTAACTTTTGCTCTCTGTGGTCTCTTTTTGTTCTTCCCTCAAGCCTTGTATTGAGCCTTGTGAATAGGTATGCAAGGACAAGGATGAAGCTGAGTTCTGGATCACTACCCTTCGAGCTCTTCTCTCACGAAACAGCTCTTCTGCATTGGTAGTTCACTCAAGAAGCCGTAGTTTTGTTCCTGACTATGGAGAACAAAGTAGTTCGAGCAAGGAGTCAAAGTCTAACATCAGATCCGTCAGCAGTGACACAAGCTGCGAGGTTTTTGTTTCTTTCTTCAAGAGTTGTTTCCTAGTCAATATCCTATCTCATCTGGCACTGTTTTGCAGGAACATGCAAAGAAGGCCGCCTCAGGGTCTCACTGCAACACTCCACAGAGACTGGGGAAAGTTTTCTCGGAGGTTTTGTCACAAACTGCTGTACTAAGAGCACTCTCTTTGGACGAACTGGTCCATAAACCTCATAACTCGTCTCCAGAGAATTTAGAGAATCGACCTACTAATAACTCCCCTGCTGTTGATACAAGTAAATATAGCGTTTCAAGCGCAGTGAGCTCATCTAGTCACGGATCCACTTTTGAGGACTTGAAGTCTCTCTGTGATGTCTTTGTTTGGGGAGAGAGTATAGGAGATGGGTTATTAGGAGGTGGTATGCACAAAAGTGAAAGCAGTTCTTCTCTAATGAGTGAATCCTTCTTGCCCAAAGTCTTGAAATCACATGTGGCACTTGATGCGCAGAGCATATCTTGCGGTACCAATTACGCTGTGTTGGTCACAAAGCAGGGACAGATGTACAGCTGGGGAGAAGAATCTGGTGGCAGGTTAGGACATGGAGTTTGTTCCTATGTTCCACAGCCGAAACTCATCGATGAATTTGATGGAACATCGGTGGAGATAGCTGATTGTGGGGAGTTTCACACTTGTGCTGTAACAGCCTCAGGGGATTTATATGCTTGGGGTGATGGAGCTCACAATGTTGGTCTCCTTGGACTTGGTAGTGAAGCTAGCCACTGGAAACCGGTACGGATACTTGGTCAGATGGAAGGTATAATTGTAAAAACCATCTCTTGTGGACCTTGGCATACAGCTTTTGTGACATCAGAAGGTAAGCTGTTTACATATGGTGATGGCACTTTTGGCGCGCTTGGACATGGTGATCGTATCAGCACAAGCGTACCTAGAGAAGTTGAGTCGTTAAGTGGCTGCAGAACGATAAAGACAGCTTGTGGTGTTTGGCATTCAGCTGCTGTTGTAAGTGTCTTCTGTGAGGCCACGTCATCTGGAAAGCTCTTTACTTGGGGTGATGGAGAGGATGGGAAACTAGGACATGGTGATAAAGAGTCTAGACTAATCCCATCTTGTGTAACTGAGCTGGATACAACAAACTTTCAACAAGTAGCTTGTGGCCAGAGCATTACCGTTGCTCTCTCTGCGTCCGGACAAGTCTATGCAATGGGAATCGTTGATCCGAGTCATGACAATGTAGTGAGAGCTCCTTCTTGCATTGAAGGTGTTCTAGGAAAGAGTTTTGTACAAGAAGTGGCTTGCGGGTTTCACCATATCGCGGTCTTGAACTCGAAAGCTGAGGTCTACACTTGGGGCAAAGGATCAAACGGACAGCTAGGACACGGAGATACTGAGTACAGACGTGTGCCGACTCTTGTGAGAGCTTTGAGAGGTAAACAAGTGAGGAAAGTTGTGTGTGGCTCTAACTACACAGCGACCATTTGTCTTCACAAACCAATCACAGGTACAGATAGCTCAAAGTGCTCTGGTTGTCGCCATCCTTTTAACTACATGAGGAAGCTACACAACTGTTACAACTGTGGAAGTGTCTTTTGTAACTCATGCACTAGCAAGAAGTCCTTAGCAGCAGCCATGGCTCCCAAGACGAACAGGCCTTACCGTGTGTGTGATGACTGCTATATCAAACTCGAAGGAGCTCGAGAAGTACTTTTAGGAACTCCAGCGAACAGTGCAAGATTCTCAAACGCGAGTCTACCATCTAGCAGTAACGAGATGGAAGAGATTGGCATAACACCACAGCGTCAGCTTCTTAGGGTGGATTCGTTTGATTTCTTTAGACAATCCAAGATCCCTGATCTTAAAACCATTGGTGAAACATGTAGCTCGTCGAATCACTCGAGTATGGAGATTAAAGGTAGTTTTAACTTGAAAGGGATACGGAGACTCTCAAGGCTTACATCTTTTGATTCTGTTAATCAAGAAGGCAAACAACGCGCCAAGCATTGTGCTTCGAAATCAGACACATCCTCTCTTGTAAGACACTCTGTGACTTCTGGTCTCCCGTTTTCACGTAGAGGCTCTGTTGAGTTGTTTCCTTTGTCTATAAAATCAAGCCCGGTTGAGTCTGTTGCAACGGACTTCACTACAGACATTACAGATACGGAGTTGCTGCAAGAAGGGACAAAGAAACCGAATCAGTGTCTTAACCAGGAAATATCAGTACTCAAAGCACAGGTTAGTCCAGCTCCAAAACATTATTGAATGTAAGGATAAGTTTTCTCTGTAGATTTTTTTGATAAAACAAGTTTACGTACTCAGGTGGAAGAGCTTACCCGAAAAACAAAACAACTTGAAGCCGAACTGGGAACAACTTCGAAGAAGCTTGAAGTTGCGGTGTTAATGGCGAGTGATGATGCAGACAAGATCAAAACTTCAGAGGAGATAATCAGGTCCCTTACTCTGCAGGTACACACAAAGACACACTTTTGTCTGAAATCATTAGTTAGTCCTACTTTGAATTCAAATTCTTCTTCTTTTTCTTCTTCCAGTTAATGGACGCGACCAAGAAAGATGTAGACAAGACAAGGAGACGACGAAGCTCGTTTTGATTTTAAATATCTAACTAGAGAACATAGCCTCTAATCTCTGATCAAAGCAAAGAAAGGGGATGGAAACTGAAATAGATTGAGAATTCTGGGGTTGAATGTAAAATACGACAAGTTTGATACATCCCTCTTATCAAATTACATACCAAAAATAAAATCAATGTAGTCATTAATTACAGAGCAAGAACAGAAAGCAGAGTATAAGACATTCAAACACAGAAACAGAGAAGAAGAAGAGAAGAAGAAGAAGAAGAAGAAGAAGAAGAAGAAGAAAAAGTTTCAACCTTTTTGATTTTCTATGTTTTGGTTTTAGTGAAGAATCAACAAAAGCTTCTTCATTTCACTAACAATGGCCAAGCTAATGCTCAACATCTGATTCGCCATCACCATTTCTTTCTTGATCTCGTTTCCCACCGTCGTTCCCATCTCTTCAAGCCCATCGGAGCAAGTCTCACCATCAGTCATGGCGGCGCTAATCCACGTCTTGACATCTCCGACGACCCTCTTCGTCAACCAATCCCCTCCCTTATTCTTCTCCTTCTCGATCTCCGATACCGACTCGTTGAGTTGACTCAGCGCGTCGGTGTACAGCTTCACGCAGTCGCCGACCGCCGCTTCCTCAGGCATATCGTTGATTGATCGGAAAGACATGGAGAGGCTTGAGACCTTTTGAGAAGCGACTCGAATCGATAGCAAGAGGATTGATTCAGGGTTCGATTCGTTGAGAGAAGAAGATAGAGCATCGAGGCAGGTCTCTGGGTAACGAGTCAAGGCACAGACTTCCTTGAGAGACGCGGAGGAGACGGGAGGATGGTGTGAAGGACGAGTGAATGCTCCGGCGGTTAAAGCGACGACGGTGAGGATCAAGAGGAAGCATACGACGGAGACGGTGGCGATGAGGGTTTTACGGGAAGGTGGTTTAGGGAGTGGAGATTGAAGAATCTGGTTTTCTTGGTCGGATACTTTGCCGTATCCTTTCAAGTTGTTGATCGACTCCATTGAAACACAGACAATTTGGAAGCTTTTGATGAATCAATCTCTGATTTGGGATTTGGGAGCGAAAAGTCAACGAGAGAAACTTTGAATGTAGGAAGAAGGAAGGAATGTGACTTTTGTAGCAACGTATCTCTATCTCCCACGTTTTCTCTCTCTCTCCCAAAGTTTCAAATATATGTAGTTTGACTTACTTTACGTTGATGATTCAAGATTATATAGGGCCAAGAGAAGAAGGTTGACACTTTTTTAAGATTCTCTCAGAAGCCTGAAACTTTTCGATTCTCTCAATCTGGCTGGCTCAAGTTTGATGTTTTTTTTCAAAAAAGAACAAGAAAAAAAAACATCTTGAATAGTAAGGACTAAGGAGCACTGGACCTGGTAGTTCTAGAGTTTTGCCAAGTCTCAATGTTCTCAAACTAAAAGCTTTCTAATGGAAGCTCATTCATCTTCAAGATTCGGCAAGTTCCCTTTTAACCAAGAAGACTTTGAAGAGAAGGCCAAGGCTGGAAATTTCAGAGCTTAGGATTGTTAATTGTCAGAGATTAGGCTTGAGTCTTTTCTTCTTCTTGTTGTTGTTCTCCGTCTTCTTCTTCCTCTTCTTCTTCTTCAGCTTCGACTCCTAGGGACTGGCTTAAGTACTCTTGAGCGTCTTCTAGTGCAGACTCATTCGCATCGGTTGCATACAGTATCTTCTTCACTGCTCCCACAATCTGCGTTTCACATAAGCATATATCACATTCAAACACGATCATCTTTGCAAAAGTTGAATTCCGATGAAGAGAAAAACTAAATGTGCTCTCTCGCTGATGAAATCTGATGAGTTCATTGGTAAGATCTCTCTTATTTTCTTCTTGGTGTAAGAATGATATGATAATATAACAGAAAGGGAACACGAAATCTATGAAAACCGATTTTGGAGCAGAGAATTGGAGATGGTGAGTATCACTTACTGGAGTATCTTCAAGTTCCGGAGTTTGGCAAAGTATCTCTACATCCCGAAGCTTGGAGAAGTAAAAATCTCTTTCTTTTTCCAAGAGATCAACAGAAAGCTTAAGATCTGTAACCTGTTATTGCAGAAGAGGTAAATGAAGTTTCAGTTACTCATGATCACAGAAAAGAAAAAAAGTGTTGATTATTATATCTGACAAATGATGAAAGTTTCATTCCTAAGAGTTTAGGATCTGTGGGAGTGTACCTCTTTCATCAAAGCCTGCACGACCTCAGCTGCTTTTGCTGTCTTAGGCCCTGAGAATTAAGTTTCAAACGATGTTTAGAAAGATACATTAAACAATTATAAATGTTTGGATAAAAGAATCTGTTTTTTTTTTCAGGCAGACCTGAGGCTTTGCTAAGACCAACCGAACTGGAAATTGCTGGAGGATGATTATTGTTTGTTTGCAGTGACTTTGAAATCTTAATAGATCCCTTAACACTCCTCTCTTTACCACCTTTTGTTCTTCGTTCCACGGGATTATAGTTCCTATAAGAAACCGTCAGTTTCAGAATATGGGAGAGACGATGGAAAGGTATAACATTGCTCAAAAAATCAAACAGGTGAAACCACAATACTCATTCATAATGCCACCGTTTATGGAATCACAGAAACGTTTCAGCCATTGCAGAAACTCCAAGTTATCAAGTGGTCGACCTTTGACAAGCCTGTTAATTTCCAATGGCTGAAGTTTTTTTTTTCAGCAGGACAAAACAAGGTGAGTGAAAGATATACATTCAGAGATATTACAGGAAGGCAACAAATCGAGATATGTTTTAATTTACCTTTGTAACTTTCAGCTTGTTGAACACATCTTGCAGGACCTTGTAGTTTTGTATCATCTCGTACTCATTCTTTGCATCAAAATTAACCTTGCAGAGAAGGACTTAACATATTAAGCCACTAAGAAGCAGAAGAAACGTGCGAATGATAGATAATAAAAGTGAAATCAAATCACCTTGTGCATTGGCACAACTCCTGGAAAGGTCATATCAAGCATCTGACATTGCACAGCACCAGATGCAGCCTAACAAAATCCCCAGAAAGTTTACTTAGAACAACAACATCCTACACGAACTTTCATTACAGAACTAGTAGGATTCTTTTAGATCCGTCTGATTAGAGCTAAGTTAAGGACATTTCTTCATGAGAAGATAACTCATGAATCTATGACATTGAAATTTTAACACTCAAAGCAACTAAACAATCATACATAACCAAAGCCAAAAACCCTTGGTCACTTTATATCTAAACATCATTTCACACTCACAAAATCACAAGACTCATCATAACTCAGCCCCAAATCTCATACCATTTTCCAAATTGAGACTAATCAAACCTGAAGCTGCAATTATCTCCAAGTTCTAAACCCTAATTCCCCAATTATCCAGCAAATGAACCAAATCAACACTACCACTATATAACAATGAAAATACCATTTCACGAATCTATATCTCCAGCGAGATTACGAACATGAAACCCTTGGAAGAAATGGACAAGAAACTGAAATTCTGATCGCAGATAAGTTAGCAAAAGGAACAATAGAAGAATTAAAGAAAGCTCACATGCAGATATACTCACAAATCGAACAACATTCATTACCTCTTCGACGCGAGAGAGATTGAGCTGAAGGCGATCGTTGATCCAAGTAAGGAGCTCGTTTCTTCCGACGAAGTAGGCACTATCCATTATTCCGATGTTCGTTGCCATTTGAGTTTGGTTCTCACTAAACCCACAAAAAAAAAATAAACCTTTCTGTTTTGCTCTTGGAAACCAGATGAAACAAGAGCGATAGAAATTTTGGGTATTGATGGAAAATCAGTAGTCAGTAGAATATGTAAAGAAATCTCCTTTACAGGCGATTTCGATCTGCTTTGGTTTTGCTTGTGAGGGAGAGAAACTGAAGTAGAGAAAAGGTCGGAGGGAGAGAGAGAGAGTCTGAGGAAAGGGAAAAAGAAAAGCAAAGCAGAGAGAGAGGTTAACGCTGGCAGCGGCAACTGGAAAGGTTGCACATTTAATTTTTTATTAAATTATTATACGTTTTTTTAAGACGACAAATTATTATTCGTTTAATGTTTCGTGTGATTGTGAATTGTGAAACGTGAACTAATATTTTTTTATTCTTATTAATAACTTCGAATAAAAATGTACATGATGTCAGAAAAAAAATATAGAAATACATTGTGGGTGCTAAATCTTACACACTAAGAATTTGTATATGATTTTGGAAAGGAAATTGAATAAGATGGACTTAATCGTGGTATAAACAAGTTATCAAGGAATTGGATTTGTAGTATTTGAATGAATGAATAGAAGATATGTAATAAAGTAGAAAAAGAGTTTGTTATAGTTATTAGCAAGTATAACGAACTCTTTGTCTAAGTACGCAATTCTGTTATAGTTATTTTATTAATAAATTAAACTAATGATGAATTATTCTTTTTTAAGGTTGCAAGGTACAACCTGGTCATTGTGGTTGAAAGTGGCACTGGTAAAACACATTTCTTGAGAGATACCTTGGTGCACGGCTAAACATGACGATGGTTATAACAGAGCCATGAGCCATAACGATGACAAATCCATAACAGAGCCATGGTAATACATAATCTAGAGTCGATATTAGAAAAAAAAAACCTTAATTCATATAAAACTAATAATATTATTGTCCTAATTTAGTACAAAATAAATAATATTTAACATCATCCTAATTAAATTAAATGAAAATAAACAACAAAAATTTGATAACATTAGTTTTTCTACTGTTTTTTTTTTTTATAAAGTCACTAACCAAAATTTTAAAAGCAAAACTTTTAACCATATTTGTTTTGCTAAATTAGGTAGCCAAATCACTTATTTTTTTTTGTTACAGGACTGGTTTAATGGTAGTTTTTACATTTTTCCTCTCTCGTAGTGTGGAGAAGAAGTGGACTCTAGAAATACTCCTAATTGCGGTAATAATCAAACTCTATCAACCTGTATCAATTGTTTTAGTTTTATAAACAAAGATAATATTAATTTCAACAAAAAGTCATAACATAGTTTGATTGTTTCTAAATTCCCAAGATTACAATAAATAACAAAATTTTCAAATCATACTCTTTCCGTATTTTTTTAAGTGTCGTTTTAGATTGCTGCACGTTTATTAAGAAAAATTAGAGAAAGACTACACTAACCTCAAACAAAACAACAAATTACGATTGTATGAATGTTTGTGTTTTATTAATTGAGGGCTAATATGAGAAATTATTAGCAGAAATTACATTATTTATTCAAAACGATACTTAATTTATAACAAAAAAGTAACTCCAAAACGACATTTAAAAAAATACGGAAGGAGTACTTTAGAAAAGTAAACAAATTAGCTAATTATTTGAGTTTTGTCACAAATAAAGCAAAATCTAATAATATATAAAATAAATTTATAATGAACAAAAATATTTAACAAAACTAGCAAATACCAGTTGATAATGTTGTTGTGAAAAAGAAGAAGAAATTGTTAAGTCTTCCATGTGATACAGTATTGTCCAATTTGATTAACTTTTTCATTAGTTGCTGTTGTTTTTCGCTGAAAAAAAATATTAGTTGCTAATGTAAACAAAACTCACATTTTTCTACAGTTTAAAAGTTAACTATTCATCAAATGGACTTTATTAAAAAAAATGGGCCCCCATTGTGTCTTTTCTATAGCCATAGGCCCATAGGCAAGGCCCTAATCCTTCACATGCTTCTCTTTACCTTAAGCAGTCTCAGCCCCTCGCTTAGTTTAGGGAAGAAACCTTCGGGTCTAACGCACCACGCCCTGAAAACCCCATATAGAACCTCCATGTCCTCTGTAAACCTTTCGACTCCATCATCAGAAAACTTCACATTCGCCATCAAGATGCTGTTGTAGAACAACTTGTCTATCTCTGAGGCTAGACTCCTCCACATAGCTGTAAAGTCTGCTTTGTTTAGATTTTCTTCTATTATCGATGTCTTTCCTTGCAAGTAGTCTAGAGCCCCAACTAGTGCCCTCGACACCGTCCATTCTTTGTCTCCCTTCTCCTGCCATTGCTTTCTGTTCTTTATATACTCTCGAGTTCGGGCATCAAAGCCTCTCAAGACCACCACTGACAACTTGTTAATCCACTCTAGCCTGAACTTCTCCAGCTTCTCAAACTCTTCTCCGAAGATACCTTCAGAAGGTTCTGTAAAGTTCTCAAGTCCTGTAACTTCCTGTGGATTGTATTGTCCGGTTACCATTTCGAGGAAGAAGACATCCTCGCACCATTCTTCCAAGACTGATTCAATGTAGTGAGCAGCATTGATAGAGTTTGAGACCATGATTAGATCGTTGTTTTCGGTTAAAGCAGTTAGTCCTTCGGCTTCTTGGCACCTGAGAAGGAGGCTATCCAAGAACTTCTGGATTGCTGGTGACGCTGCCAGTCTCAGAAACCTTGCCCTTAAATAAATGGCTGGCACTGATTTGGATCGTTCGATTATTGATGACAAGTGTTGCAGAAAGATGCTGGAAACTATTGGTGGTCTGTACACGTTGGAAGAAGAGATGAGTTCGTCTTGGACCTTCACTGTCCAATTCCTTTCGTTATCTATCTCCGCCTTGAATTTGACGAGCCTCTCATCTAGCTCTATCTCTGCCCATAAATCGAGCCAATCAGGTCTGTCACAGAAAACTGATAGAGAGGAAATTCTCAAAAGATTCCCGTCTTCTTGAAGCGAAAGTATTCCTGATTGCGATACCAGAGACTGAACTCGCTTATCAAAAGAGATCATCAGGTCAATGAGGTGGAGCCACGAAACCTTAGCCTCAGAACGAAGATCAGTTTCGTTTGCTTCATTTAGCTGACCAACATATATAGGGAATATCTCTTTCACCAAATACAAAGACAGTGAGCTTACCATAGCAGAAACCCACTCTTCTCGGCAACTGTATCCAGCTAGCTTAGCTTCATCAACAAGCGGTTGTAATAACTCATCCATGGAGTCCACATAGTCCCTTGTGATTTTATATACAAGGGCAAAAATGAATTCAGGCTTTTCGCTCCACTTTGTGAAATGTCGCTGAGATGCAACTGTGAGAGGGTTGACCAGCTCTTCAATAGCCCAGAGTGGCTGGTGGAAAAGAACATTTTCTCCCTTATGGTTCCCAAGCTGCCGCGACTTTCTTTGCAACTGCAACCCCTGTAGGCTACACAGGGCATGGAAATTTCCACAGTATTGACTTTTGAGGTTCCCTTCCATGTTGAAAAGCGGATTTTGGACATTGTCTGACTTTGAATCAAGGCTTGGTGAAGTTAAGGTTGAAAGCTGTGGTGGCCATCCAAGAGAAGTAAGCAACGCTCTGTAATCAGCAATTGCTTGAGGTCTCACCATGGCTAAAGCTCTATCTACTCTGTGATCAACTGCAGAAACAAGACGTGCCCACCGAGGATGTCTCCTTGCCACTACACTCAGTATCTCTTCTGTCTTTTTAAGTGTTTTGATAGCATGTAGACGCACTTCCTGAAGATCAGTAACATTTAAAACATTGGTCCACACATATGGTCTGAAGTTATACACAGCACAATCTAGCTGAAGATAGTGTGCTTACTTCAAAACTGCTTGACCGAGGTGATATCAAGTTTTTGTTCATAGAAGACATCACTGCATCCTCGATATCACCCACTAGAGTGTCAAGTTTTAGTGCAGTCTCTGAAACATTGAGAAACATCTTGAAAAGATTGAAAGTAACTAAAAGGAAAAAAATGAACTCTACAGTGACCAAACTAAGAAAGAAGAAGATTGCAAATTCCAAATTTGGGTGGTATAAATAATCTCGATCAACCCATCAAAAACACCAATTCATAAACACCAAAGGAAGCCAACTTACCAGCATAAGCCCTCACAGACTCAACTTGTGCTACCTCCTTTGCCAGTGATGGAAGCTCCTCCCCAGCTACAAGCTCCGTCGTCTCCTCCTCCTTTCCGCCATCTGAATGTATAAGACAGACAAAAGATTCTCAAATTTAAAAGAACGTCACAATTTTTGACGGCATTTCCAAGAATCTCTCACCACCCAAAACCGAATTTTCATCTTTGACTACAGCATTTCACGAACATAATCTGCATTTTGCTGTTTCGGCAGACGAATCCAATAAACTCGCGTCGTAATCATACGAACCTGATGCTAAGCGCGGAACGCAGGTAGAAGAAGAGAGATCAGCGAGCTTGGCATTGACTCCGGAAAATAGACCACCGATGCGGCCCGAAAACGAAGCGTAAGCAGCGAGACCGGACTCGAGCTGGCGATTCAGCCCGGCCAATCTCTGATCCAAATCGGAAATCTCAGCGCGTAACTCGGAAACCAGAACCGGAGACTGGGAGAGATCCGTGGCGTCTCTGAAACTGTCATCGAGGAAGCTAAAGAGCGAAGCGGAGAAACTCGAGACCTGAGGAAGTGGTTTGATCGCGTCCATTCACGGTTCGTCGTGGCCTCAATTTCATGGAGATCAAATCAGAAAATTCGTTAGAAGAGGACACTGAGTCAAGTGTTGACGAGTTGAGTCGAGTTACTCAAATCAGTGGGCCTTAGTTGGCCCATCTTGCTTTCTTTTCTCGAGTATAGTCCATCTTTTTAAGAACAGATAGAGCTGTCAAAATGGATAGGCAGTGTATGGTTTGTCCGCGTAGCATTTTGAACTGGTTATGGATAAACCCATTTTTGAAACGGGTTGAAGTGAGCTTTGTCCATTTTCGCACATAGATAAAATGGATTGGACATTTTGGATATTGATCCGCCCAATGAACAAAAAAAATTAGGTTAAAATTTTAAAATGCTGAAAAATGTAGAGTTGTGGATGCAAATTTAGCTTCTAAAAACAAAAAACTAAAATAACCCTCAATATAACATATTCATAATTATTTTTTTTTTTAAATTGTCAAAACAATTTCTCATCAAAACAAAAATTTTGCTAAAACTCCTAAAAAC